TAAACTTGTAACACTAGCAAGTACTCTTTCAAATAAACTTGTAATTTAGAATGTGCGGCTCTTAAGAACAGAGTTATTGTTGCTGTTTGAGTCTCATCACCTCTATCTTCACAAGCACTGTCTACAGCTCTTGTCTAGTTACCATTATTTCACACCAAACGTTTTTGTAAATGTCGCACTTGCCATTTCAATAGGTTTATTCAAGATTAAAACCAGATTAAACTGATGTATTCTAAATTTTGATTATGGTAGACTTTAAAGTTTTCCAGGAATTAGCTTTTTATGCAAAAATATTAACATTAAATACTACAAAAATATTCTGATACTAGCAAAATCTTTCCCATTAGTTTCTATGAAGAACTCAAAATGTGTATAGAACTTATTTTTAGGTAAGATATTCCACAGGATTAAAATGTAGATTTTATAGTTGGCTGAAATGATAAGTTTTTCATGTTTTTTTTATTTGTAGTTCATTATTCACTGTATGAAATCTCAAAGCTATTGAAAAGAAAGCTGTCACGAAAGGATCATCAGAAGTTTTTGAGGTGCACTAAAGGAAATATTGTCGGCCTGCAATGAGCCTTAGGATCGTTTAGAAATTACAAAAGTGCTTTAGTATTTGCGATTGTTAGATAGAACAGATTATGCAATTATTAATTTCTTTTAATAGTACAATTTTTGATGACGTAGACAGCAATTCACAGTAATATACATATATGTATGTATGTGTCTGTTTCTGTTAAGCGATATATAATAGCTATTACATTTTAGTAAATATCTTCTGTTCTTTTCTTGAAAATTATTTACCAAATGTTACTGTATAACTAGGTATTATATACAGAAGTAGCTCATTTATGTGTGAAATATTTTAAGTTTCAATTAATGTAACAAAGAAAAAAATAGTTTTTATCGTACAGAAAGTAGTTGCAAGAAAACATTATTGAAATATTTAAAATACAAGAAAAACGCAAATATACTGATGTTGCATTATTCGTAAATGAATATTCTCAGGAAATACTTAATGAGTACAATGTCACCCCTATTCATTATTTCCAATTGCCAACTGATGAAATATATTCCCGTATTTCGGTTTCATTTCATTACAGCCATAGTTTATTATGAATCCAGATAAGTATTTATTAGTCATTCTCAGATTTTTGTATTTTTCAAAAATGAACTATTCACGACAAGAAAATTAGTTAATTATATACACCTTCACAAGGAAGACAATGTTTTATCTAGATTATAAAAAATATTAAATGAACTTTTAGCTAAAATGATAAGAAATTAACAAACTCGGATTTTTTAAATATCCGAAGGTAAACACGGGAATTAGAGAAGCGTAACTAATGGGATAATTAACCAATTTAATAGTTACAAGCATAGAAATAGCAGTGTAGTCCCCATAGGACTTTTAAACATATTTTTCTAAAGTATCTATGCACCAAGTTGCTTGTGAGTCTATGAATTTGTTGGTTACAGAGTCTCTAATAATATGTGTGTCTCACAAAAAAAATTAACCAAAAATATCATAAATTGATTTAATACAATGCAATATCCACATTTGAAGAAGTCGGTAACCTGAAGTTTTGGACTCAATACTGTCAATATTTTACTTAAGTACTTACGGTGAGATAGAAGTGTTTGTTGTTTCTACTCTAATATACCACAACTATTGTACTTTAGTTCTGATTTTTATTTGGAAAGAAATGATGATAATAGATCTACCAAAGCCCAGTGTTTTGGTGGTAAGGTACATTCACTAAATCAGCGGATCCCAACCTTTTTTATAAGTATATCTCCAGATAGACCGTTGAATTAGCGGGTTATCACCGAAGCATATAATTTGTTAAAAAACAAACAATAACTTAACAGTTGTTTATATTGATAAACGGGTAAACCAAAAGAAGCAATTCAAGGGTGAATCAACAATACACGAACGTTGAGTGATGGCTAGTGAAATACGTTGGTAACTCACCGAAACTACAGTACAATTATATAGCGTGGGGCTTATTTTGTCTTTAATGTTGGGAACATCTGCACTAAACTACTCAATGTATATGTACAGGTGATAGAAGAAGTCCATTTTAATTTTCAGTTTTTCTTTAAAACAGTAATATCATTCGTAGTTTATAGTCTGATATTTGGCCAAAACAAAACTGTAAAGCTGTAACAAACAAACGCTAAAACTTTGAACTTGTCTTTCAGACTAAGCAGTGAGGATTGTGAGAGTTCAGATTCATACTATCAAAACTCTACCAGTTGATCACTGAATATAAGACTTGCAATCATGTAATCTAGGTAGAGTATAAGATATTTTAATTGTGTAAAAAAAGACATTTGTATTATATTTTTTATCATAAGAGAAGCACGGAAAATATACTTACTTACTGTATTTCGCATGTCGTGGTGTTCCAAAACAGTTTCTACGTTTCGTGTCTTACGTGTAATGTTATGTCTCTATAAAATGTTATTCTTAATGTATTACTTAATCTGTCGCTCATCCGTTTGGGATTTTTTAGTTTCATAACCTGTGTAGATTTTGAAAATAAAAGAGGTTTAAGTTGTTACATTATAATACTTGTTGTTTATTAAACGTAACAATGAAACGGTTATATTCCAATTGTCAAATAATTATTCTCAAACTGAAATCACTGATAAAGAAGGCATTAGAATGTTAGCGTACTAAGAAAAAAATATTTAATGCTGCAGTTGTCATGAAAACTCAGTATTTCAAGTAATAACAAAAGCCCTCCAAGTTGCTCATTGGTAAGTTTGAAATGTTATAACGCTAAGAATTGAGTTTTACCTGTGGGAGAACAGATAGTTCATCGTAACTTTGTGATTAAAAACAAGGCAAGTTAAAAATATTTGAACTTTAAAACTGACATAGAGAGAAATGCGAAGAGCAAATATAAAGTTGCCCTTCTAAGATTGATAACTTGTGGGATGAAAATTCTATTTGGTGTGATAACTTGTGGGATGAAAATTCTATTTGGTGTGATAACTTGTGGGATGAAAATTCTATTTGGTGTGATAACTTGTGGGATGAAAATTCTATTTGGTGTGAAAACTTGTGGGATGAAAATTCTATTTGGTGTGATAACTTGTGGGATAGTAAATTCGTAGTTTGGTGTAATACGTTAGTGGGATAGAAATTCTATTTGGTGTAGATTAACGTTGTGGATGTAAACTTACG